AGTAATGCATATACATAGCAAAAGAGACCAACTGTGAATGGAATATACAAACAATAAAATCCCCCTTTGTTCTCAGACTGTGACACCCCTTCCCCAGCAGGAAAGTTCTTTTATATACACTTTCAGAAATATTCTCAGCATGTAGAGGCAGATATATTTGTATATGTATATATGTTAGAAAGGAGATATATACTGTTATAGTCTGGATGTTGGTTTTGTTCAATTCAGCAAACACTTATTAAGCATCTACTATGTACAGAGACCTAGATAACCTTTCTTTTCTCCTTTCCTTAGCATAAAGTTCTAGCTGTATATATCCATCTGATAATAGAGAAGAAATAGCATTTGGTACTTCAACTTAAAAAAAAATTTTTTTTAATGTTTATTCATTTTTGAGAGACAGAGAGAGACAGAGTGCGAGTAGGGGAGGGGCAGAGAGAGAGGGAGACACAGAATCCCAAGCAGGCTCCAGGCACTGAGCTGTCAGCACAGAGCCCAATGCAAGACTTGAACCATGAGATCATGATCTGAAATGAAGTTGGACGCTCAACTGACGGAGCCAGCCAGGCACTCCTGGTACTTCACCTTTTGAAATATTACATATATGCATACTCTTGCCTATGACTCTATAGTTACTTTGCTTTAAGACACTAAGTGTAGTTCCATTTTTTTCCTTTTCCCTTCCATACGAGTATTTTTCTGGAGTAGATTCATATTACTTGTTCCCATTTTCTTAAAGGACCTCTTTACTTCTCAATCCACTGCAGTTTGGTTCTTCTGCTCATGATCCCGGTATAACTGCTCTACAAAATCATTCATGTTCTCTTACTTGCTGAAGCATTGTACACATTGTTGCCTTATCTTCTCTGTTGTCCTGGTTATGTTTCTCTTTAGATCTCTCTATATCTTTGTTTTCAGGAAGTTACACTCTCCTAGTTCTCTTATTTCCTCATTTATGCTCAGTCTCTTTTATGGATTTATTTTCCTCTTTATGGCCCTTCAACATTGGTGTTCATCTGCTTTTCATTCATAGCTCATTATACTTCTCATTTTACATCCTCCCCTTGTGAGACCTGGTTAGGTCTCATGATCTTAGTTAGCTACAATTGATTGGTAACAAAACTCTCTGCACTCCTGATCTTAGTTATATATCCAACTGCATGCTGGATATCTCCCCACTGAAAACCCAAAATATCTAGAAATGAATTCATTCTCCTTTTCCCTCAAACTGATAAGCCTTCATATCCACCAACTCTGTTGTTGACACAATCCACCCAGACACTCAAGCCAAAATCCTGGCATCAGCGTAGACTCCTCCATTCGCTTTTCATTTCCACATTCAACCAATCCCCAAATTTTGCTAATTTTACCTCCCAAATATTTGCATCTGTCCCCACTTCTATTCATGCTACTACTGCCATAATTTAAAACCTCATAATTTCCTAATTCAATAGGCTTCTAATTGACTTCTTTGCCACATTCAATTTCCATCTAAAATACGAATTGAATAGATCACTCTCTTGTTTAGATCCCTCTGATCCTTTTCCGTTATCTATAAATTGCTTAACCCTTTGAATATTATCAATAGCTTTATGTGGTTCAGTCTTCGCCTAACTCTCTAGGCCCATTCTGAGTTCACTCCATCACTCCAAAATTATTTGTAGCTTCCTGACCTAATTCAAGTTCCTTTACATTTCCTATACTAAGATTTTTTTAAAAAGCAATCTCCACACCCAAATGTGGGGCTAAAACTCACAACCCTGATATTCAGTTGCATGCTCTACTAACTGAGCCAGCTAGGCAAGCCCCATACTATTTTTTGGAATCCTCAATATTTTCATGTATTTTGTGTCCTGTTTAAGAAATAATTTGACTACCCAAAGTTATGAAGACAATAACCCATGGTATTTTCTAAAAAGCACTATTGTTTTGCCTTTTTTTTTTTTTTTTTGTTTTGCCTTTTATTTTTAGGTCCACAAGCCATTTAGAGTTTTGTTTTGGTTTCTATTTTAGTCTGAGTAGACATCAAGGTTTTTTGTTTTCCACATATTCGGTTAACCTAGGAGCATTTATTAAAGCATCCATTGTTTTCTCCACATTAGTACAGTGTCACCTTTCCATAAATAAAATGGTCAAGAGTTCTATTTAGTTCCATCGATCTACCCTCTAACACCTGGAAGTATAAATCTTTCAACTTTGTTCTTCCTCCAGATTGTCTTGCCTGTTCTCGATCTGCTGAATTTTCATATAAGTTTCAACTTGTCATTTGACATACACACAATCTGCTGGGATTCTAATACGGATTAGACTAAATCTATTGGTCAATTGGGGTGACTGACATTTTTACAATATTGAGTCTGGCAATCCATGAGCATACTGTCTCTAACCAGTTACTTGGGTCTCCTCTAATTTCTCTCAATACTATAATTTTCAGTGCAGTAAAACTTTGGATTGAGAATAACTTGTTCTATAAGTGTTCCCCAAGACAAGCAAACATTTACAATAAATTTTAACTTGATAAACAAGTGAAGTCTTGCAATACGGGTAGTACGGACACCGAATGTCACATGTTCATAACTGAGACAATGTTCTTCTCTCTCTCTCTCTGACTGTGGATGATCATCTCCCATGCTTGGATGCTCGGTCTCAGACCATGGTGTTTGGCAGAAACCAGGGATTTTTCAGAATGTTGTCACAACTGGCACTAGTGTATTTTTGTCACTTCAAAGCCCCTATGGACAGTGCTTTGCTTTTCTATACAAGAGTAAGCTTAGGAATGCTTTTTTCTAGGTCAGGCTGTCTGTAGATAGCCCTTTCCTCTGCTGCCTTATTGCCAGTTATATTAAATACAGTATATGACAAGAGTTTATTAATGCTGTACCATAGTCAACATCTGCGCAACTGTATACAATGCTCCTCTCCCCCGCAGAAAAAGGTTCAAAAGAAAGGCAGCAAGAAGATGATTACAGTGTAAGTTCAGAAGGAAATCATCAAGAAGTATGAATGAGGTATGTAAATGACTGAAACCGTAAGATTTTATAAGAAGTCTATGTCTGCATCTCATCTGCAGAGGAGAAAAAGGCAGAGGAATCCCACTTCAAATGAGATTAGGGAGATGTGTCAAATGTGGGAAATAGTGCAAAATTTTGTAGAAAAGCATCACCCAAATAAGGCTGTAGCAGTGATGAATCTGTTTTAACGACAATGCAATGTCACATTTCAACAAAATCCTCCAAAGGAGTCCAAAGCAAGTGTCATTGGATAGGTTCCTTGTTTTAGTTGCACAAAAAGAAGATTCCATTGAGCCAAGAGATAGCAGCGATTCTGTTAGTGAAAGTCATCCTACATAGTAACCTTCCTCTCTCATCTCCCTCGCACAGGCCACAAAGGTTTTCAAAGGCAAGTGCAGGTTAATTTTTATTTTAATTTTAATTGTTTATTTTTCTTTACATTTTATATTTTCTTTATTTTGTATTATATTACGGCATTATAATCATTTTAATATGAATATTTTTGGGTTGTGGAATGAATCATCTGAGTTTCCACTATTTCTTATAGTGAACTTTGCTTTGATATACAAGTGCTTTGGATTACAAGCATGTTCCTGGAATGAATTATGCTCACAAACCAAGGTTTTACTGTATGTAATTCTTATATACCTTTCATTAAGATTTATTCCTTGGTGCCATGGTGCCCCTAAAATATCAGGTACTAATCCGTGGAACTGTAAATGTTACCTTATTTGGAAGAAGGGTCATTGCAGGTGTGATTAAGTTAAGGCTCTTGAGACAAGGAGTTAATCCTGGATTATCCAGATAGATCCTAATGCTATCAGTGTCTTTACATAATAGAGGAAGAGAAAAATTCATGACACACACAGAAGGCAATGTGAAGATAGAGGGAGAGATTGGAATGACGTGGCTTCAAACCAAGGAATGCCAGCAGATACCAGAAACTAGAAAAGGCAGGGAACAGAGTCTCCCTAAAGCCTCTGTAGGGAGTATAGCCTTGCTGACACTTAATTTCAGACTTCTGTTCTCCAGAAATATGACAGGAGTTTGTTTTAAGCCACCGAGTTTGTGGTAATTTGTTACAACTGTCATAGGAAGCTAATATGCTAGGTATTTGATATCTTTGATGCATTTGTATGTTAACCACTTTTTTAAGAATTCATTTTCTAATTGCTTAGTGCTATTATTTAAAAATATAATTGATTTACGGTGTGCCTGGGTGCCTCAGTCAGTTAAGCATCTGACTTCGGCTCAGGTCATGATCTCACGGTTTGTGAGTTCAAGCCCTGTGTTGGGCTCTGTGCCAACAGCTCAGAGCTAGAAGCCTGTTTTAGATTCTGTGTGTCTCTCCCTCTCTGCCCTTCCCCTACTCACACTGTCTCTCTGTCAAAAATAAATTTTAAAAAACATTTAAAAATATATAATTGACTTATACACTCTATCCAGCAATTCGCTAAATTCATTATTAATACTAAAGGTTCATAGATTATAACTTTATATAGACTATCATGATTTCACCAAGTAACAGATTTATGTATTTCTTTCCTACCTTTATACATTTTTTCCTTGCCTTTTTGCAACTGCTGGGATGTCCAGTACAATAGTCAAGTATTGCCTCTTATAGCTTTTGTTTTTTTAATGTTTATTTGTTTTTGAGAGAGAGAGAGAAAAAAAAAAAAAAGAGTGCGATCAGGTCGGGGCAGAGAGAGAGAATCTCAAGTGAGCTCTGAGCTGTCAGCGCAGAGCCCAACCCAGGGCTTGGTCTCAGGAACTGTGAGATCATGACCTATGTCAAAATCAACCAACTGAACCACCCAGCCGCCCCTCCTCTTACATTTTTTGGTTTTGGAACTATAAGAATGTATCATCTACTCCAAATTTAAACTACAATGAAAATACCAACAAAAAAAAATTAATAAAAAAGCAGACAAACAAAATAACAAACGTTATTCTAGTTAATGAATCCAGAGGCCTTTTCTTAAACTCTTCTCATGATTCTGCATCATTGAGCCTTATTTATTAATGATTTCTTAAAGCTTTCTTCTTCCTTGACCAGATTCTTTCCCTCTAACCTCTTATAGATATCCCCAAGATTTTCTTCTTAGGTGTTTCCTTTTTTTAATACTGTTCTTGTTAACCGTTGGGAAATCATTTTAAGACTTATTCTTCTTCTTCAGAACCAGGTCAGCTTCAGGTGCTTTCTTTTTCTTCAGGGGCAAAACAGAAAGAAAAGCCCCCATCCCTGAAGTTCTTTTCCCAAAGGTGGAATGCCCTTGTTTTGCCCTCTTTGCTTTACTCAAATAAAGTTTGGAATCTTCTTTAAGGGTTTTACTAACAATTAGAAATAAGTTACCAAAGTCCCCAAATCTTCACCAGGTTTTAATCCTTGACTACATGCAGAAATTCCTTTGTGTACCAAAGAGGCAGGAGGTGTTGCAAAATTGGGGATTTAGAAAACATGCTGGCCAAAAGGACTCAGAGCAACAGTTTTCTTTTGTGAATGTAGTTCAGGGTCTGCCCTTCACATTGCAGGACCAGAGATGCTGAATCATATTCATTAGAAGCTTGTGTATAAAAAGACCAGTGTATTAATTTACAGTGAAAAAAGTAATTGTCATAGGAAATGGCTATTCATTTCATTTGGCTGAGATTTCTCTCATTGTAGAAAAACTATGTGGGGCTTAAAATAACATTCAGAACTGTATTTATTAAGAAAAGTAAAAGAATAATAGGTTTAGTTGTATGACTTAATGGAATCACATCAAACTTTGATAGATCAAACTGCCTCCACTACCAGAACAAGATAGGTTTTGTACCTGCTGAGGAGACTTTCCCTTTAGACAGGGATCTTGCCAAATTATTTACTTTCCAGGCTTTTTTTTTTTTGGCTCAATTCCTGATTGAGGCATTCCTGCTTTAGGTATGTTACTGCTTTCGGTGAAGTCTTGCTCTGGCCGGAGAGGCTTATTTCTGGTTTGATCCACTCTGCATTGACCTATAACAGAATTCATACAGCACAATCTTTAAGGGTTTGGACAAGACCCTACCTACCTGTGGATCCCAAATACTGCTTTGCATACGTTTGCATGCTAGCTGTTAACAGGAAGTCCTCAATTCTTACTGCTGAGCAAAAACAGTTAAGTAAATAATAAAAGCAAATCATAAATAGCTCCCAATGCCAGGCAGCCTGGCACATAGCAGACATCCTCAAATCTAGTGAACGAAATATGCAGTTCCCTTTTCCTTTTGGCTAATGCAATTCAGAAAAGCATTACAGAGCACATCGCCTGCCAGGCTCAAAACCTGCCAGAATGCAGTTCTTGCCTCACCTCACTGGGGGACTCCGCCCTCCCTACAGCTCTGCCCCAAGCCCTGACCACGGGTCAGCACGGACTGAGTAAGCACCAACTGGTAAGGCCTCGGTCCTAATTTTATTTCACCACTGACAGCACCCACTTCTAACTAAAAAAAGAGGGCGAAAAATGGATAAAAATAAATGAAAAGGTGAGAAGAGAAAACTGGGGAAAGGTTTTAAAAAAAAAACAAACAAACACCTTTTAGCAAAATACAGCTGCTCTCGGCACCCTCAGTCTCTCTAGGGAGTCAGGCTCCAGTTCTGGGATTCAGAAACAAAAACTGCAGCGTCCATATAACCATGACCGCGACTGCGACTCTGGCCCGCTGGGCCTGGAACCCGCAGGGCGCCCAGCTACACAGTCCGGCTCCAGGACGCGCAAGGGAGCGACACCAGCTCGACCGCGGCAAAGCCGCGAAACCGAGCAGCCCAACCGCCGCAGTATCTCAAGGGGCTCCGGCTCCCGCCGAGACCGGCAGGATCGTCGGAACCCGCAACCCCCTCGGAGAAAGGGGGGCCGCTCTTCTGACTCGGGAGCCTCGGGTCGAGCGGGTTCTTTCTCAAGCTGGACGCGTTCCTTCCGCCCTAAGAGGGCAAAGAGTCCCACGCCTTCGCGTTCGCCTCCGCCCGCGCGCCAGAGCGCCCCCTAGGAAGGAAGCCCGAGAGGCGGCCGCGCCTCTGCGGCGATTTTATTAGCGCACGGTTGGGGTTGCCCGGGCTGTCGGCGAGCGGGGCTTCCCCGCCCCTCCCCCTCTTCCCCCCCCGCCCCTCCCCGCCCCTCCTCGCCCCGCAGCCGGAACCTCCCTGCGGGGCGGAGTGATACCGGCGGCGGCGTAGAGCGCGGCGCGGCCGACAGGGGCGCCCGGGACTGCGCGGGGCGGGAGGAGGGAGGAGGGGAGAGAGGCGGGGCCGGGGCGGGTTGTTGTGAGGCGACTGCGCTACTGCCGGACCGGGGCGGTTATGGCGGCTCCATATTAACACCCTCCTCCTCCTCCGCCGCCGCCGCCGCCGCCGTCTCCTCCTCCTCCTCCTCCTCCTCCTCCACCTCCTCCTCCTCCTCTCCCTCCCGCCCTCACTCGTAAGCCATCTCCCCCTTCACCCTGACGCCTACCGCTTCCCCTCACCTTTCCCCCTCCCCTCTTCTACCATGCCCGGCATGATGGAGAAAGGGCCCGAGTTACTGGGGAAGAACCGATCGGCCAACGGCAGCGCCAAGAGCCCGGCGGGCGGCGGCGGCGCCTCGTCCACCAACGGCGGGCTGCACTACTCGGAGCCCGAGAGCGGCTGCAGCAGCGACGACGAGCACGGTGGTAGCCTCGAACTCCTCCCCGCCAGCCCGCCTGCCCCTCTCCCTCCTCCCCTCCCCCAGCCCCCTCCCCTCGCCGCGCTCCCGCCCTCCCTCCCCTCGGAGCCCGGGCGCTGCGGTAGCCTCGAACTCCCGGTGCAGTGCAGCAGCACCCCCTGCGACCCCCGTCCCTCCGCCCTCGACCAATCCTCCGCCCTCGGCCCCCCCCCGCTCCCCGCCCCCATCCGCTGCCATCTCCCGGAGTGCCCGGAGTTAATACCTTCCCATCCACCCGCCGCTTCTTTCCTCCCTCCAGCAATTTTTATATTTTATTAAGTGTCTCTTCCTTTTTCTTTTTTTCTTTTCTTTTCTTTCTTTTCTTTTTCTTTTTTTTCCTCTTTTTTTTTTTCTTTTTCTTTTTGGCATTGCTTTGCAGATGTTGGGATGAGAGTCGGAGCTGAATACCAAGCTCGGATCCCTGAATTTGATCCAGGTAGATATATTTGCTTTAAGCAAAATCCTGTCTCCCCTTTCCTGGGAATGGCTTTGGGTGGAAGAGGTAGAAGGGCGGGCGAGGTAGGGGTCTGGGTGTGCGGTTGGGAGGGGATGCGGGGTTGGGATGGGCAGGCATCTGGCGGGGAGGCTGTCAGGCTTCGCAGGGCTGTGACACAGGGCGTGTGGGCAGATGTGTGTATTGCAAGGTTAACATGGTTCCTTTGGAGGCCACTTGCCCGCTGGTGGCATCGCCTTTCTGCCCCCATGAGCCTGGGGCGAGGTCGGGGAGAGCAGAGGGAGGCGGCCCTCGGCGGATTCGGGGGTCCGGGGCTGGGAAAGGAGCGGCTGCTGGGCCGAGGGCTGGAAGAGAGGGTGTGCGGGCTGCGTGTGGAAGAACCATGCTAATGTCAATTGCCACACCGCCGGCCCCGGGGAGTGGAGGGCCGCGCTCCGCAAGGGCGGCCAATGCCGGGGCTTGCTGTCATCAGCCGAAGCCGAGGGCGAGCCCTGCCCGACCCGCGCGCACACGGGATTTTCTTTTTTCTTTCTTTTTGGCTAGGTGGTGTAGCTTTAGTCGAGACAGCTCTGCGGAGTGTAGGAGTCGCGGAGAGAAAGGGATGGGGGAAGGGGGTGGGGAGAAGCCAGAGGCACACCTCGCCCTCGAGCCGGCCCTAGGAAGTCAGACCACAGGACAGTGGCTGCAGCTGCCAAGGAGACATTTTCTCCCGAGCAGCCAGGTTCCAGCGTCCTCTGCCAACCCAGCTTGCGGGCTCCCTGTCTACTTTTCTCCAAACAGGCTCTCTGGCGGTCACGGGATTTCAGTCTGGACGGGGATTGGGCGAGAGTTCCGCATATGGAGGCGCCCTTGCTGGAGCCTCCCGGAGTGGAGCGTGTTTCCTTCTCCCCACCCCAGACCCTCTTCAGTTCAGGCTTTGGACAGACTTTGAAGGAGCTCTCTCGTTTTTGTTGTTTTTGTTTTTGTTTTCTGTTTTTGTTTTTGCTTCCCTTCCTTTCCCCCTTACAGTTGGTCAGTTTTCTGCCCATTGCCCGCTTATAATATTGTGTGAGACTCTCGAGTTCTGTATTAGATATTAATTAATAGAACTTCGTTTATTTTGAGGAAGGGGCATGTAGCTTGTTTGCTTCATTATAGGGTATAGATGGGTAATATCGTCCTTCCCCTGCCCATTAGGGCAATGTGAACTATTTACCAACCATTTAAAGAATTTTTAGGTAGCATCTCCTCCTGTCCCAGGGGAGAGGATAAATAATGAGGGTTAAAAGGATTGTCAGCGCAGTCAGTTTTTAAGTAGGTAAAACAATGAAACAAGAGTGCTTCCTAGATCTGGGTTGCGTTCTAAATGACATGGCCGTTAATACATTTTATTCAAAAGCTATCAAGTGTGTGCACTGGTGGGCTTCAAATAATTTTAAATGTTTTGTGAAATTAACTTTGTTTATTGATGCAACTAGTAGGTAGATGACACTTTCACATTACTATGCTGCCTCAGGTATTAACTTGACATTTGGAAAAAGCATGCTTTAGCTGAAGATAGACTAATTTCAGTTCCCAGCTCTTTAATTTTTGTGCTCTGAGCAAGCCAGTGGCCTTCCCTGATCCTTAGTTTTTTAGCTATACAATGGAAATAAAAAATACTTTATGAACTTCTTGTCAGGAATACATGACTGGGCATAAGGCAGTTACTGAGTAAAGGTTCAATTTCATAATTAGGAAGAACGATTCTGCATACATTTATACCTTTCTGATTTAGGACTTTCATTGGTACTCTGCTTTTTGGGGAAATGATAAGCTTATTTACAAATTAGAATTCAACAGCAATTCAACAGCCAGAACAGTTTCATAAGTTAGTAAACATATTTATCTTTTTGCCACATTAGGTAGGTTTGTATTTCATAGACAGCTGTACACAGGTAGATTATTAGGTGATCTTGTGTTTAAAAACCAGACTTCTTGCTGGAACCAAATTATACATGCCATGACATAGACCACTATAAAGGTTTTTCTTTTGTTTTTTGCTTTTTGTTTTGTTCTTTTTGGTTTTCATTTCATGATAGACTAAACACTAGAACAAATTTCAAAATTTGAAAAATAATTCATTAAAGGTGCAGAATATCTCAGGTAGTTTTACATGGCCGGTATGTGGATTACTTGATCATCATAATTTTTAAAAAATTTGAATGTAAGCAGAATGTGGGGAAAAAAAAATCACTGATTATTGCTATTTTTTAGTCCTATTTTAATTAACTTACTCAGATTATAATTGATACTCTTTATTAGAATAAGGATGTATGTCCTATTGTAAAAACTCATCTGTAAGTTTTCTCCTTAATCATCTGTAAGTTTTCTCCTTAATCACGTGTAGAAGAGTACTAAGCCCAAGGACACAACTAAAACCAGTTATTTAAACCAAAGTGGACTCGTCTATAGCCATCATAAGCAAATTTTGTCAAACACATGAAGATTAACAGTTGGTAGGCACATTTTATAAGGAAGTATTGAACCTCTAATGCCTTTCAACGTAGTACCACTGTCTATTTTATTCTGAGTGTGTACTGTTGTGTGAAGTTTCTACTTCATATCAATTCAATGTAATTCACTGAGAAATTAAAACATTTCATTGGAAAAAGGAAAAGAGATATTTATTAATTAATGAGAGAAATTGAGAAATGGTCAGTTCCTACCACCTTTTCTTTTCTCCAGAACATTATCTTTAGTCTCATTAACCACTAGAGATTTTTGACCTGTAACCACGCAAGTTATTTGGAAGAAAAATTCCTTAGGTACCAAGATTATTATGATCAGAATATAGGAAAATTAGAAGAGGATTTGTGTGTATATGCAGGATATATTTATTGGAGGAGATGGATAGTGATGGTAGAAATCGAACACAGAATGACTTACTAAAATGAGTATTTTAGAAAATATGAGAATTGTAACTTAAATTGTAATTCCTGAATGTAGGAGATTGAGAATAGTGTATGTTAATTAACAGACCATTGCTAAGAATGCCTTTAAAAAGTTAAGTGGATTTGATCATTTTCTTAGGTGTTTTTTTTTCTTTAGATTTTTCACTAGGTCTTCCCAACTTTTATTTAGTGCCTCCTGACTATTCATCAATCAAGGAGGAGCAGTTTCGTGTGGTGATTAGAGCCTCAAATCGTACTGTATGCCTTTTAGCTAATATGGCCAAGTGACCTCGATGAACCATCTGATGTATCCAGACCTTTGTTTTCTCATTTGTGAATGGGAGATAATGTTAACTATATCGTAAGATGAAGTGAAAATTAATGTCTACAAAGTAGCAGTTTTCAGATGTTTTGCTTGTATATCCATAAAAAATTAAAAAAAAAAAAGATTTTCTCACATATTTTTGACATCTATCACTTGTTGCTGTGTTTAAATAGTTGAAAAACATAATCTCCGGTGTATTGAAAATATTAACACTTTGAAATAAAGTTGTTATATCCTTATTTTAAATGTATGAGGTTAAATATAAATACTGCAGTAATATGATAGCACCTATTTTATATAAAGTATGAAGTGGGGCACCTCTGTGGCATAGTCAGTTAATCATCTGATTGATCTCAGCCCAGGTCTAGGTTTCTGTGTCATGAGTTCAAGCCCTGCATTAGGCTGTGTCTTTAGTGAGGAGCCTACTAAAAAAAAAAAAAAAGAAAGGAAAAAAGTATGAATAGGTTCATAGTCTGAAAGTTTACATTTTTCCTTTTTATTTTTGAAATCCTTTCCATGCATTTGCCCCACAGGA